TTTGCAGTAAAAAATCACGGATTTACAGATGAACTCAGAAGAAGAGCTTGTAAAATTTGGAGATGTAAAAGTGATAAATGGTAAAATGATGGGCTATTTATAGATTGAGCGATGACGGTTCAATATCATCGGTGGCTGACCACCGTCTGACACGCATTAAATGCCTTGAAAAACTAAACCGACGGGACATTTATCACATGCGTCATGATCGAGCCCAATGTAAACGTCAGCTTATATCTGATCGAGCCGTTAGGAAATCATGTCGTTTCTCGCTACATCATTCCTGAGAAATGAGGGGACTATCTGTATATGGTCAAAACCAGTTAGTCCTTCATACGAACTGGTCGAAATGGTAATGCATCTGATCGAAGAGTGTCTTCATAATATCAGGTTGAGGTCCGAAGTCAGGTCACCAAGCTTCGAGCCCTAGGGACCGATTAATGTCGAGCTCGATATCATTATCGAGCTCGAATCCAAATCGAACTATGATGCAAAGTAAAGTTATCGAGCTTATGAGGCAGAGACCGACCAACACTGACCCCGAATCAATACAATGATCCGAGTCAGAATTGAGCTCGAGTCAAGATCGAGAGCTCGAGTTGATATCAAGCTCGAGTCGATATCAAGCTCGAGCTCATAGACAAGAGCTGTTGCAATCGCACTAGAGGAGAGAATCCTAGCAGGAATTATGGAAAAGTTGACTTATCGTGGGTCTCCTACTATGTATTTTTAATTATATCTAAAGTAAGATCCCTCCACTATAAAAGAGATGGTTATTATTTCTGTAAGGACCAAGTTTTTGGCATACATTGTAATTGAGATATCATACACTCCTATATTGAAGAGTTATCCTTTTTTAGCTTCATAGATTGATTCATCCTGCTTAATCTATAAATCATCTTCTTTCCAACTTTGCCTATTTTTCATTCTCCACGGTCAACACTCGATATTTCTATTCATTCTTACGATTTGTGTCAAGTTTTACCACATACCTTTAGAACTACGTAAAAATTTAACTATATCCGTTTTTCGGGTAAACAATGTTGTTGTTGTTGTTGTTGTTGCTGCTTAAATCTATGCGTCAAAAATACTGAGTTCCATGAATTTCCATTTCTATTATTCTTTTTTCTTCTTATTTTAATATTTGGTTGGTGAGGTTTTAAGACTTGGCACTTTGCAACATTAGCTTATTTAATAAAAGCATCAACATGCATGTCCTGAATAAACAATTACTTGCCGTCTTAGTAAACCAACTTCCTTACGTTATGAAATAGGTTGGAAAATCATCGTAAGGGAGCTCATGTGTAATGAATATGACTATATATACAAGTAAATGAGTAGTTGAACCGGTCGAAACTATAAAAAAGTTGACCGACTATAGGACACACACGAAGATGAAAAAACTTACTGGCATATGATGTTTGAGTCAAGAAATTGAATGCAAAACTTGTGTCTTGCATAAGCTTTAACCACTTATTATGACCAAGTGATACGTGCTCTTATTTCAGTACGATCTAATTTTTTGATTTGGTGTAAACAATTTTTTTAGCTTTTAATAGGTAATAGCATTTAGGGTGTAATACGGGGAAAAATTGCACTGACACTCTATTTGATCGCCCCCATTTAATCTATACCCACTTTTAAAAAAAGTTTTAACTTGTATCTACTTTTTAAACAACTTCAGGCATTTTTCTCCTTCTCCTTCTCCTTCTTCTTGTTCTTCTTCTTCTTCTTGACAGTGATTTCTTCTCCTTCTTCTTCTTCTTGATAGTGATTTTATATGGTGTTTGTGAATATATTTTAATGTAATTTATGATGTTTTACAATGGTGAGCTATTATAACGCTTTATTTTTTTACTATTGCTTAGGGTTTCTTCTTCCTTTTCTTAATTGCAAAATGAGTTCGTTAGATTTATTATTGTTTTGACAAATTGATGATTGAGGTTTGTTCCAGATGATATTTGGAGGTTATGTTTAAAATTTGAGCTCATTTGGAGTAGATTTAGGTATTAAATCATATATTGGATCGTTATAATTCGAAAAATAAATTTCTGTTTCTGGCAATTTGCACTTCAGGTCTATTTGGCCTTAAGTGCATGAAAACGATGGTTGCACTTCAGACCTTTGGCAGTAAGTGCATCTGAAGTACAATTTTTCACTTCAGACTTATAGACCTTAAGTGTATGAAACCGTTGGGTTACACTTCAGACCTATTTGGCCTTAAGTGCATCTGAAGTACAATTTTTCACTTCAGACCTTTTGGTCTTAAGTGTATGTGAAGTATAATTTTTCACTTCAGACTTATTGGCCTTAAGCGCATGAAACCATTAGTTGTACATCAGACCTATTTGACCTTAAGTGCATCTGAAGTGTAATTTTTTCACTTTAGACTTATTGTTTTTAACTTCAAACCTAATAAGTCTAAAGTTGCTCGTAAAGTAGGTAAATTTGTAATTTTTTTAATAAAATGAATATAAGTTCAATTGTAACCTCCAAATTGGACATAAATGCATAAGCGTTCGTATTATGGAGCACATTGGCCGGCAAGAATTGCGCTGGTACTCCTGCACAATATTGTTTCTTTTCGAGTCTCCTCATTCCAAGGCACTTTCTTTATTCTATGTTCTTTTATCTTTTTTCCTCCAACAAATTAACAATTAAAGGTGACTTTAACCTAATAATATTGGGTTTTTTCACTTTTAGCACAATAAAAATTATTTATATTTAATAGCCAAAAAAGTGTATAAAATTTATATAATTTTTGTATATAACNTCTAACAATATTATGCTTAGGCCCATAGTACATTATTTTCATAGAAATGACATCAGGTAGGTACTCCAAAGGGCTGTTTATTTAGGAATTAGTCAGTGCGTCATAAATTTTAATTTTTCAAGACAAAAATATTCTGAATTATCCCGAAATTAAGATTTTTAGTTTAAAATTTCAGGACGAAACAAATACTGATTAATCTCTAAATAGCATCTCTGAGAATGACTATCTGTGCACTTGCCTCATTATTTTCCAGTTATCTTAATCCAGTTCTAATACGTCACATCAATCCCTACAATACTCTAATATGCGTAGAAAATTAATTAATCCATTGAGAAATTTGATGAGAATTAACTAACTCTACCAAACTTGGGAAAGTAACCACAAATTACAATTCAATTCTCAAATAGATGTGAATCAAATATGAATAGGGAACGCTAAGGATTTATACCTTGCAAAATGATATTTATCCAATAAACTCTCTCCCGTTTAAGAGATTATTTGCACATTTAATATTGGTCAAATGACTGCAACAACGGTAGTATCCACTTTCGCTCAATTTTAAGTGTCGTTTGAATACTATTAGATTTTAATTCAAAAGGCGTCTTAACAGTTGAATTTCCACTCACTTTTATGTGATTTGTAATCAAGATTAGACCAAGCTATTTGTATAATGGTAGAAATAAAAGTGAGTCCTTAAACCTTCAGTACCCCTCTTCAAACCGAAGATTTTATATTCACTTCCATTTTAGTGTTTATATTAAATTTCAACTGTTACCTTAGTATGTATACATGAAAATAGAAAACAAAAAAGTTTGGCAAAGAAATGGAAAAGTACAACTAATGTAATATAGAGATGGCAATGGAGCGGAGCGGTTGCGGGACGGGTTTAGCCTTAACCCGCAAAGACTTCACCCCGCCCCGCCCCACCCCGCCCCGCAAAGCCAAAAATTTCCCTTTTTCATTTTTAAAAAATAATGAAATAACACAAGTTTAATATTTTTTTTCCCAGATTGTTAAATCCCCCGTATGCTATGACTCAACTTTTTATTTATTTGAAGGTGATTTTTCTTTTGTCTTAATACAATAGTCAATGATTTTCTTCTCATTTTTTCTACTTTCAATGGAATTTTATTTTATGCAGGAAACCAAACAAAAACTTGTGCTAACAAATTATGCCGCATCTTTTACAACTAAGATATACGTACAACTTGTTTTTTGAATTTTTCTATTATAGAGATCTTCGATTTTCTTAGTATCAAGATACTTTACAAGTTATTGTCTTTTGGTATCTTTATTTCTTTTGAATAAGATAAATCAATGATATAGCGTACTAGTATAACTTTTACTATTACATACACATTATGACAGAAAAAAATTTAAATAATGTAATCACGGGTTAATGATAAAAGAAATCTTTACTTAAAAAGGTTTTAAAATAAAGAAGCAAAATTAAACAAGAAAATGCTTGCTTTGTACAAACTGCAGTCCGGAGTAAACCCGACAATACCCGCAACCGCCTGCACCGCATTAAATTTTCAAAAAACAGTTTCAACCGTTCCCGCATAAGATCAAACCCACACCGCCCCGCATAAGATCAAGCCCGCCCCATTGCCATCCCTAAATGTAAAGCAGCCGGCCACCAAGGTTGTGGTGCAGTGAATATGATTGTTCTTTCCTCAATTAGAGGTCTCGAGTTCGAGCCCTTAATATGGAAAAAATCTTTGATAATGAACACTTCCTCTCGAATGAGGTTCTACGCAGTGCGAATCCGAATATAGTGGAGTCCAATACACCTACTGAATACGGGATGAGAAACAAAAAAGCTAGGTAAACCAATCACTAAGTTTACGCAAATTAACACGACAAGAAACAATTGTCCCATGAAAAATCTTAAATGCCTGTTGGACAAAACGCGGTTTTCTCGTGGGTATGTCATTATTATAACATGTTCACATAGTGCACGTACATACTATATGGCAATTCAACATATTTATGGAAAATGCGTGTAAAATATATTATTATATTATATATATTGGATTTTTTCACCAAATAAATAAAACCTCATTAAGAGTTGCACACCAATTCTTATTGAGTCCTTTTAATTTTTATTTATTTTTATATACACGGATCATGTTAAATATTTATAATATTAGGTCACTGAATCAATAATTATAACAGATTTAACTTTAATGTTAGTGTTAAAAATTAGTATTACATTGTGCTCAATGTGTGCTCTAGTTAGTTGTTACTATGTTATAATCAAGATCTCAACTTTTTTTCCTTGTATATATCGTAGTCGCTAGCTCTTCTTTTGACCTTCTCATGACATAGTCAAATTTCTGAATATTTATCCAAAGTTCAACACTTTTTCTCTCTCTTGGGGTACTTTGGCTTTTGCTCTATCTTATTCAATCTATATCCATGGCTGCTCATTACTTCTTGAGGTTGATATAATTTATTTTTTTTACTATAGTTCTTTGCTGATTACATGAAGTATTTGATTGATATTCTTGTGTTTTTTTAGAGTTTTTATTTCAAGTTTAGTTCTAGCTACTTAGATGGTATTTTGGGTTCATCTTGTATTCTTGATTTGCTAAGCTTGAACAAGTTCTTGATTTTAGTATTTTTGGACTAATTTGGAGTTGATAAAAGGAGGGGTTTGACTTTTTGGGTTTTGGAATCAAGATCTTGTTGAATTTTTGAAGGGGCATTATGTTAAAAATAAGATCTTGATGTTGAAAGTGGAGGGGTTAATAAAGAGAGAGTGAGGAATTGAAAGCAGTAAGAGTTTGTACTAAATGGGGAACACTTGTGTTGGACCAAGTATTTCTAAAAATGGTATCTTTCAGTCAGTTTCAGCTGCAATGTGGCGAACTCGGGTGCCAGATGATTCTGGTTCCACCACTAATGATGATAGTGCCAGAGGTGAAACAGCAGAATCTGGAAAGGACCCTGATTTGGTTGTCCAAAGTAAGCCACCAGAACAGATAACAATGCCCAAGTCTGAGCAGAAGGAAGAGGAACTGGCGAAAAAGGAAGAGGGACCGGAAAAGCCTAAGAAGCCGGTACAGATGAAGAGGGTAGGTAGTGCAGGCCTTAGGATTGATTCTGTATTACAGAAGAAAACTGGCAGCTTAAAGGAGTTTTTCAGTATAGGAAAGAAATTAGGACAAGGACAATTCGGAACTACGTTTAAATGTGTCGAAAAGGCAACAGGGAAGGAGTACGCATGCAAATCGATTGCTAAGAGGAAATTGTTGACAGATGATGATGTGGAAGATGTTAGAAGGGAAATTCAGATAATGCACCACTTGGCGGGGCATCCAAATGTTATATCGATAAAAGGGGCTTATGAGGATGCTGTCGCTGTTCATGTCGTTATGGAATATTGTGCTGGAGGTGAGCTTTTCGATAGGATTATTCAGCGCGGGCACTATACAGAAAGAAAAGCAGCTGAGCTCACCAGGACTATTGTTGGAGTTCTAGAAGCTTGTCATTCTCTGGGCGTCATGCATCGTGATCTTAAGCCTGAAAATTTTCTTTTTGTTAATCAGAAGGAGGATTCACTACTCAAAACAATTGACTTTGGATTGTCAATTTTCTTCAAACCAGGTACTTCATTCGATTAGTTTGTATTTACCTTAGTGGAAGCTGCTTTAAGATGCTTTCTGAATTAATGAGTGTAATGACCATGAAATTTATTACTCCTATATAAAAGATGACCTATGAGAACTGACCTGTATTGTCCAAGAATTTTGCATGTTTGTCCCGGCATTCTTGGTGCAGATTCTATCGAACTCTGTCCATGACTTTGTTATTGATTTAGATGCATTCGACTCAGCATTTGCACTCAAATTGTATTGAACTCTTATTGATAAACCTCCTGTATACCATCTTACGCAATTTGAATCACTTTCTCCTGTATGCTATGTTCATTAGTTGTAATGTTTAATATCACGAAACAACTCATTAAGTAATGTATCGTTTTTCAGGTGACAGATTTAATGATGTTGTTGGCAGTCCTTACTATGTTGCACCAGAAGTTCTCAAAAAACGCTATGGTCCCGAAGCTGATGTTTGGAGTGCTGGTGTGATTGTGTACATTTTATTAAGTGGAGTACCTCCTTTCTGGGCTGGTGAGTTTCCAAAGTTATCAACTTTAATATCCAAAAAGAAAATAGGGGTTGTGTTTTNTGGGGTTGTGTTTTTCCCAGAAAGGAGAGTACAGTGAAAACGGAAAGTAGAAAAGGTTTTTGCAGAAACCAAATACTGCTCTTCAGATGATATCTTATCTTTTCGTACGATTTCTCTTTACTAATATATACTATCATACAGAAAATGAACAAGGAATATTCGAAGAAGTCCTACATGGTGATCTCGACTTCTCATCAGATCCATGGCCTAGTATTTCAGAAGATGCAAAAGACTTAGTCAGGAGAATGCTTGTTCGAGATCCCAAAAAACGTTTAACTGCTCATGAAGTCTTGTGTAAGTATTTTCATCATTGTTCGTAATGCTAAATGGTTTTACATCTCTACTTGGTAATTCACAGATGCTGGATTAAAGCTTCTATGTTGGTATTTCATAATTGATCGTCTTATTGTGTACATTGTAGCCTTGTGGTTTAATTTTTGTATCCCCTAAAATCCTATGAGTATGAACATAATCCTTCCCATTGCAAACATTTCTCTTGAGATGACGAATTTGGATAAAAGTTAGGAGTAATGTTGAAACCTTTGCAGGCCATCGTTGGGTTCAAGTTGATGGTGTGGCTCCAGATAAGCCTCTGGATTCTGCAGTTCTGAGTCGAATGAAACAATTTTCTGCAATGAACAAGCTCAAGAAAATGGCTTTGAGAGTGAGTCTATAGATTTACATACACGTCCAAGAATCAGACAAACTGTGGACTGAAACTAGTCCTCTAAATATTGTGAGTTACACCTCTGTTACAGGTCATCGCCGAAAGCCTATCTGAAGAAGAAATTGCTGGTCTGAAAGAAATGTTCAGGATGATAGATACAGACAATAGTGGTCAAATAACCTTTGAGGAGCTCAAAGTTGGATTAAAAAGAGTTGGCGCTAATCTCAAGGAGTCCGAGATCTATGATCTTATGCAGGCAGTAAGTATCAGAAAAAATTTCTATAGTTCTTTTTTTTTTTTTTTTTTCCTTTTCTAATTCAAGCAATAAGTCTGATATCTATGTTTTAAAGAGAAATAGACGAGGTCGGACACCATCTGGACTAGTATTTCCTTCATCGAACTTCTTGTTCACGTCTTTTTGAAAATAAATTTCTTTATTGACTGTACTGAAATTCTGTTCTGTGAAGATATCCGAGATTTTTGTTGGTACATTATTGCATTAATCTAACTGATAAAATTGCACAATCCTTTAGTATCATCTCTTCTTCCTTTAAGTTCTCTGCCCCACTCCGCACCCAAATAGACATGCTCTTATTACCTTGTTATTTCAAGTGGAGCCCGGTAGATAATTCAAGTCTATGTCAAGCTAAAAAGCTTCATGGGTAGAATCATCTAAAGAAGTTAATTATACTTGGATAACATTTTGATTGCGCAAATAAGAATGAAGCAACATCATTTATGTTTGGGGGCATAGGTAGTGTGGGGATAATACTTTGAGCATTACTTTCCCAAACAACTATGGAATTTTTTGACATAAGGAGATGACCGTCCAACACGTCCGAAGATTACAAGATGGAGGATTCCAAAATATAATTAATGTACTCCACAAACAAAGTACACCACAGGATAGCCATGATGTATGGAGGCGGGGGCTGGGAATAATGGAATGTTCTCGGTTAAATCTTATTATTGAAAGATTTTGGAGGAGGTGGACTTTCTGTATAGTTCGATTTGGATCCGTAAGGTACCAAGAAAGGTAATAGTTCACTTTGAATAGCGAGGAAGAGGTAGGTTACTTATGTCAGCTAGTGCTTTATGTGCAAGGGTTCGGATGAAAATATCGATCATCTCCTCATCCATTGTTCAGTAGCATCAAGATTATTGTGGAAGATTCTTACATGGTTTGATTGCTAAAAGGTGAAGGGGACTATGTGAAGCTACTAATATTAGTAAACAACAACAAGCCCAGTGAAATCCCACAAGTGGGGTCCGGGGAGGGTGAAGTGTACGCAGACTTTACCCCTACCTAATGAAGGTAGAGAGGCTGTTTCCGAAAGACCCTCGGCTCAAAAGAAGTGAAAATGAAGCAATAAACAGACAGTAGCAATTGGAAAAAAGAAATTGTGCTCTTGAACTTACTTGCGGTCTAGTCGGTATGGCAAAAAAGAGTCAGACAGAATGATTTGGCACTTTTCACCCTCTTTTCTCTGTGTTGGTTCATATTCCCATGACATCCTTACATCTCATGTTCAACCAACAGCTAAATGATAGCAATCTCAAGTAACTCCCCATCTTGTCTGAAATTGCAGGCAGATGTTGATAACAGCGGCACAATTGATTATGGGGAATTTATAGCGGCAACATTACATTTTAACAAAATTGAAAGAGAAGATCATCTATTTGCTGCTTTCTCTTACTTTGATAAAGATGGCAGTGGCTACATTACTGCAGACGAGCTTCAACAAGCTTGTGAGGAATTTGGCATTGGGGACGTCCATCTGGAAGATATGATAAGAGATGCCGATCAGGACAATGTAAGTTTCATTTTTTAACTTTTATTTTTTTATATTTGGAACTACTTTCTAGCTAATAAATAGTGTGGTAGAAAGAAATAGATGAATCTATCTTTCAACCACAATATCTATCTATTAGAAACTGCCGATTTTACTCCACTCTCTTTTGGTACCAGACATACTTAACAAAAGATGTCCAAAGGTAGTATTGGTTGACATTTGTCGGAGATCTAATGGAAGTCATCGTTTAAGGATGAAGGTAAATGTCTTCGTTGTTGATTTAAATTGGGGTTAATAATGTCATTACCTATCTCTTATCATATAACGATGATGTTTATATGTGCAAGACGCTTCTTGAGTGTGTAATTTCATTCATGGTAAAATGTTGACCTCTCTTCACCTTAAATTTTCAGGATGGACGAATTGATTACAATGAGTTCGTTGCTATGATGCAAAAGGGAAATCCAGTGATTGGCGGTGGCAAGAAAGGTCTAGAACACAGTTTCAGCACCGGATTTAGAGAGGCTCTAAGACTTTAGAGCCTTTGCCTTTCGAGATTTTCTTTTTCTTTAGTTTGGTTGTCTTAATTTGCTTCATTTCCTATGTGGAAAAGTTTTTTGTTTTTAGGATTGTATAGTAGAAACTAGTGCTTGCCAAGCAGTAACCTTGCTTTTCCAATGCACTTCACATTTTTTCCAGTTTTGCAAAAAAATCCTTTTTTTCCCTCCCCAACTTTAGCAGTGAACTTACTGAGTTATCATGTATAACTCTGGAGGTAAGGAGATTAGAATCCACCTTTTCGTAACCTTGTTTAGTTCCATCTTCTAGGATAGAGTTCATTTTTATGTTGCTCGGACTCTTCGAAAATGTCGGTGGGTGCGCGTCGGATCCTCCAAAAATAGTGCATTTTTGGAGGGTCCAACATAGGTACGGCAGTATTCTGGAGAGTCTGTGCAACATAGTTTCATTTGCTTCTGTGTCTATATGCTGCATGGCAAGAAACTTGTATCACATAATTTGCTAAGTTCTACTCAATTATTAGGGAGAGGTTACTGAGTTTACTGAATGTTGAGTGACAGTTTGAAGATGGAGGGTGCATGGATGTTTTGATATTATGGAATCCAAGAGGTATAACAACAACCCAGTATAATCCCACAAGTGGGGTCTGGGGAGGGAGTGTGTACGCAGATTTTACCCCTACTATGAGGTAGAGAGACTTGTTTCCGAATAGACCCTCGACACAAGAAGATGAAATGCGACAATAGAATAATAACATAATTAGAAAGATAGTACTAGTGAGCCAAGAGTCAGAAAATATATCGAAAAAGCAATATTAATGCAGTGACAAGGTCCTAGAAAATAGTACGAGCACTGACCGAGAGGTACCATTTTTGTAAAAACAAACCAGTTTTTTTCTACAGATTTGAAGTGGCAGTCCAAGTCGGAGAGGTTGAGAAATAGAACTATCTGATTTGATTCGTTCTTAATAGTCACGAGATGATCTTAAGTGATCCTTATGGCAACGGATGCTCTTATTACTCTGTTAGTCTTTGAAAAATGAGAACTAGCTTCTAATAATGCATGTTTGCCCGTTCAAGATCTCTTGGAACATCAGTATTTGGTTCACACTATAGAATATCTCTATTATATGGGCAGCGTGTACAAAGCATTTCGTATTCACGTAGGGTCCGGAAAAGGGCCGCACCCTCTTGGGTGATGTAGACAACCTAACTTAATGCAAACATTAGTGGCTGCTTCCACACCTGGAACCAGTATCTTATGAGTTACTCGGAGACAACTTTATTATTGCTCCAAACCCCCCTTCTAGAATATCTCTATTTTCTATCAGAAAAACACTAGCTATTTAGTCTTTTCATAAGAATAAATTTTTATGTTGATCTAGGTGCCTTTTAGTTCAAATATTATTTAATTTTGGAATATGAAGAGAATTATTAAAAAAAAAATGTGCTATAGGAGAAATAAATTAGAAGACAGTGGTTTTCATTAGAAGAAATGACACCAGATAGCCACTCTAAATGGCTGCTATTTAGGAATTAGCAAGTGCGTCCTGAATTTCAGTTTTTTGGTTTAAATTTTCAGAACAAAAATATTTTGAATTGTCCTGAAGTTAAGATTTTTTAGTTTAAAAATTCAGGACAAAATAAGTATTGGCTAATCTCTAAATAACATCTCGAAAATGGCTATCTGTGCACTTGCCCAAACCTATAATGCTACTCCTACTGAAACTAAATTATTTCCAACATATTTACTAGCAAGACACAAGCTATTCTACCGATTAGTAGCAAACTACAATATATTGAATATGTTTCCTTTCATATGATTTAGATTTATCTTTTTGAATATTTAATCTTCTATACACTTCATTCTTGAGTTCGAGCTTGGTTAATATATTTTCACTAGGTTAATATCTTTGTTTAGTTTCTTTTATGCTGCTGTAGAATAGTTGATGGATCTATACTCTCACCATCTCTAATATTTTCTTAATTCATCACCCTTTAAAGAGTAAAAATATCTAGAGAGTTTGCTAAGTCCTATAAAAATATATATGTTATTGCATTCTACTTCTACTAGTGACTTTTACATGACATTAAAAAAAATATCGAAAATTAACTGAACCGTACCGATACCAAAGAGAAACCGACATGATTTTGAGACGGTTTCGAAAAGTCTAATTTTGGTTATGCATAATAGAATAACCGAAAAATTGGTATGATACAAATATTAGAAAATAACCGTCCGAACCGAACCATTGACACCCCTAATCATTATATAATGAATGTTTAAAATTCTTGGCAAGTGGTAATTAAACAACAAAAAAAGATAATTAGGTAGCAAATACTAGGTGTGCAGAGAACCATAAAATATGTCTATACAAGTTTCAAATTCAGTAACGCAGTGGGGAACAAAGGGCCATTAGTGTTCCCATGCTTCAATTCCCACTCTTAAATCATTTCCTTTGCCTCTCTCTAGCAAATTCGAATAGATTTAAGTTATATATACTGGTAGTACATAATTTTTTTTTTATATTATTAATAAATTTTAATATGTCATTGCATATTAATTACTACTTTTATCAGATTATCAATTAATGTATATCAAAGATTTTTTGTTTGTTTGTAATTATCTAATAAGTGTTCTGATTGCATCGATATTTTTTACATCATCAATATATAGAAGTTAAATTCCATTGGAATGCCCCACCTTTCCCCAACAAAATAAGAAGTAAGAAAAGAAAAGAAAAGAAGCAAATGTTATTATAGCATGCATGATATAAACCACAGATAGTGGATTTGATGAAAAGAGAAAGTTTGTGGAAAGAAAAAGCTTGCCCAAATGGCTAAGTGTTTTATGTCTCACAAGCTCTACTACGTTAATGGACTTTGATAAGAACAATCAAATGTGGCCATATATCATGTCTCCTGCGCTATTGACTTGCTCTAAGTTGTTGCAATAACAAACCGAGTGAAATCTCACAAGTGAGGTCTGGGGAGGGTAGTATGTATGCAGACCTTACCCCTACATTGTGAAGGTATAGAGAATGTTTCTGATAGATCCTCGGTTCAAGGATTGCTCTAGGTTGTTGGAGTCACAGAATATCACCCAAGGATGTAGTAGGATGATTGAAATTCTTCTTTCTTTAATACGAAGTCTCAAGTTTAATTCCTGAAAATGACGAACCTTTCACTAAGAGCACTTTGCCTCCTTTAGTCGATCTGATAGGTCTGAAATCCGAATTAGTCAGTTCAGTAAGTTTTGAATATCGAATGATTAATCCGGAAAAAAGGTTAGGAGTTGTGAGATTTCAACAAATAGCTAACAGAATGATGGATCAAAGAAGATAGTGAAATGTCCATTTCACTTTGTTTGTGGTTCTTGTGGATCAAGCTGTGCCATCATCAATCTGTAGCATTTGACTTGTGTATGCTATAAAATAAATAATCTAATTAAAAGTATTGGCAAATGTGGCATGCCAAGACAGACTATAATATAAGTAACTCATATCTTATTACTCGATTTAAATTAAACAAAAATGGTACCATTTGGTAGCACTAATTTTACAAGAATCCTTAAGAATATTTTGTATCTTTTTCCTCATTCAGTTTTAATTTATTGTCCTAGGTGGAGAAATTGTATATTCAAGGTGAAGTTCCATGTTTCTGTTTTTAAGGTTGCAAAAGGATAATAATATATAGATGCTAATAATCCTCTAATTAATGGTTGTTTTGAGATGGTAATTAACAACATAACTTTTATATTTATATATATATAT